GCGCATAATCGGACACAGAAACTGAATTTGGAGTTATTATTTTTATAACCTAGGGACTGGGACTTATGTAGGACAGAAGATGAGGGATAGGACCCAAGTGAGGCAGAGAATTAGAAGTAACTCACAGGGGCCGGCCCGGTGGCGCACTGCTGGAGTGCGCCGCTTGGGAAGCGCGGCGGCGCTCCCGACGAGGGTTCGGATCCCACATACAGACCGGCCGCTCACTGGCTGAGCGAGGTGTAGGAGCAACGCCGAGGGTTGCGATCCCGTAGCCGGTCCCGGTCCGGTACGGGCGCGACACTGAGGGTTGCGATCCGTTGCCGGTCACGAAAAAAAAAAAGACAAAAAGGAAAAAAAAAAAGAAGTAACTCACAGAATAAAAGCTGGCACTCTTAAAGAACCATATCATCAATCCTCAATAAAAGAGTGGAAGATTAATAAGTTGAAAGTTCAAAGTCCTGGGCAAACCCTTACATGGGTTCAGGTTAATGTTACACTACCAGTGTAGTTCAGGAACCTACCAACTGAGAAATTAACAAAAAAAACTAGACCCAGGCCAGTGTTATCTCTGGAGCTCCTAACAGAAACAAACCCAAAATTGCTATGTGGAGGGACATCGAAAACAAAAGATCATAAGGAACTCTCACAGAAACACAGAGCACTACTAAAGATAAACTCATGATGTTACAGAAAACACGCCAAGAAAAACTTGACTAAAGGCTGGAATCAGCATACACAAACAGCAGAAAGACTCCCCAAAATGTGAAATAAAAAAATAAAAATCTGAAAGAGAATATAAAACAGGTATATTTAAAATGAGTAAAGGGACCGGCCTGGTGGCGCACTGCTACAGTGTGCCGCTTGGGAGCGCGGCAAAAAAGACAAAAAAAAAAGGGGGGGGGGAAATAAATAAATAAAAAAATAAAATTAGTAAAGAAACAGAAGAAGGAATCAAGACACTAAGGAAAAAAACACGAAAAAAGATTAGAAATTTCTGAAAAAGAACAAAATAGAACTTAAAGAAATGAAAAATGAAGTTCAAAAAGAGAAAAAAATGACAACTCAATAGGCAGTATAAGTAGCAGCTAAAGAATTTTTGTAAATTGGAAGATATTTATGAGGTAGTTACCCAGAGCCCAGTATATGCAAGAGGGTTGGTTAAACAATGTGGAAAGATTGCCAAGGTTTATGTCTTGTGAGAAATGAAGGGAAGAACAATGGGAAATAAGAAAAGGTTAATATCTAAAGAAATAATGAGAATTTTCTTTTTTTTTCTTTTTTTCCTTTTTGTCTTTTTTTGTGTCCGGCAACGGATCGCAACCCTCAGTGTCGCGCCCGTACAGGACCGGGACCGGCAACGGGATCGCAACCCTCGGTGTTGCTCCCACACCTCGCTCAGCCAGTGAGCGGGAACCGGTCTGTATGTGGGATCCAAACCCTCGGCGGGAGCGCCACCGCGCTCCCAAGCGGCGCACTGTAGCAGTGCACCACCGGGCCGGCCCGATAATGAGAATTTTCTAAAACTGATGAAAGACATTGATCCATAGATCAACAACCACAATTCTTGAGCAGAAGAACTAAAGCTAAACCTAGACACACTATAATAAAAATGCAGAACAGTGGAGACAAAGGGAAAAATCCTAAAAGAAACAGAGAAAAAAGGCAGATTATCTGTAAAGAAATAATTACAATGATTTCTGAACAGTAACCAATGGGCCAAGAAAAAACGGAATATTTTCAAAGTGCCAAGATAATAAAACTGTCAATCTAGAACTCTACGCTCAGTTAAACTGCCAAATTGAGGGCAAAGACTTTTTGAAGTCTGATAGACAATTTACCACTAACAGTCTTTCACTGAAAAAACTATTAAAGGATGTACTTCAAAAAGAAGGAAACTGGCCACTGAGGCCACAGCCATGATGAGTATGCTCAGGCTTCAAAAGAGGCTTGCCTTGGGGCCGGCCCGGTGGCGCACTCAGTAGAGTGCGGTGCTTGGGAGTGCGGCGGCGCTCCCGCCGAGGGTATGAGACCGGTCCGCTCACTGGTTGAGCGCAGTGCGGGCGCGACACCGAGGGTTGCGATCCCATTACGGGTCACGAAAAAAGACAAAAAGGAAAAAAAAAAATAAGAGGCTTGCCTCTAGTGTCCTTTGCTATGGCAAAAAGAAGGTCTGGATGGACTCCAATGAGACCAACAAAACTGCCAATGCCAACTCCCGTCAGCAGATCTAGAAGCTGATCAAAGATGAGCTGATCATCCGCATGCCCATGACTGTCCATTCCCAGGCCTGATGCCAGAATAAAACCTTGGCCCACCAAAAGGCAGGCATATGGGACAGGTAAGCAAAAGGGTATGGCCAATGCACAAATGCCAGAAGGTAACCTGGATGAGGATGAGGAGGATTCGGTGGCACCTGCTCAGAAGATACTGTCAATCTAAGAAGATTGACTGCTACATGTATCACAGCCTCTACCTGAAGGTGAAGGGGAATGTGTTCAAAAACAAGCAGACTATTGTGGAACACATCCACAATCTGAAGGCAGACAAGGTGTGCAAGAAAATCCTGTCTGACCAGGCTGAGGACCACAGATCTAAAACCAAGAAAGCATGCAAGCGCAGTGAAGAGTGCCTCCAGGCCAAGAAGGAGATCATCAAGACTCTGTCCAAGGAAGAAGAGACCAAAAAATAAAGCTCCCCTCCCATTGATTGTACATAGTGGCCTCAGTGACTACACAGATCAACAATTCAAATAAAACAAGCCTCAATCCACTGGGGAAAAAAAAAAAAGAAGGAAACTAAACCCAAAGAAGGAACAAGTGGAATTTAAAAAGCAAGAATACACAAAGAAATTGGTAAACACGTGGGTTTATCCAAATAAGCACTGACTATGAAACTACAACAATAATTACTAATTTGCGATGATATAAAAACAAGGTGAAATTAAAATACTAGACAATACTAGATAATAAAAACACTGCAGATGGGAGAAGATAATTAGTGTTCAGGAAGAAGATAAATTCACATTAAAGCCATGGTTCTTAAACTTTCACATGCATCAGAATCACCTGGAATGCTTGCTGAAAACAGACTACGGGGCCTTACTCTCAAAATTTCTGATCCAACAGGCCTGGTATGGAGGCTGAGAATTTGCATTTCTAACAAGTTCCAAAGTGATGCTGATAATGTGCTGCTCCAGGACTACTTTGAAAATTAATGCATTTGATTTGAAGCCAAATAAGTATATTAAAAATTTAAAGCTAAGCATCCAAATAACTAAAGTAGAATATATCATTTACAATCCCAAAAAAGAGAAAAAAGGAACAAAGATAAATAAATCAATCCCATAAAAGGCAGAAGAGGGGAAAAAAAAAAGATGGCAGAAATAAATCCAACTTTACTAAGTAATCACAATGAACATGAAAGGACTAAATTTCACTAGTTAAAAGACAAAGATTTTCAGACTGGATAAGAAAAAACAGCTAAATATATTATAAAGATATAGTAATTAAGACAGTGTGGATAATGGCACAAAGATAGACAAAGTGACCAATGAAATATAATAAAGAACCCAGAACCAACCTATGCACATATGGAATTATGATGTACAACAGAAATGACACTGCAGATCATTGAGAAAAGGATAGACTATTCAATGAATAGAGTCAGGACAATAGGTTATTCATAAGGAAAAAAATGGAATTGGATTTATACTTCACAATGTACATAAAATTCAATTTAGATTAAATACTTAAATGTACTTAAATTTGAAAGGCAAAACTTTAAAACTTTCAGAAGAAAATATAGGAGTAGGGAAGGATTTCTTAAACAAGATACAGAAAAAGCTAACCAGGAAAGTGATAAATTCAACTAGCTTAAAATCAAATCAAGTGTCATCAAAAGATGGTAAGTAAAAAGATAAGTATAAAGCTTGAAAAGGTATCTGTAGTACATATAACTGAAAAAGAATTAAAATGCAGAAGAGATAAAGAAAATCCATAAGACCAATAATACATGAAAAAAAATGGGTAAAAGATACAAACATTTCACAGATGAAGAAATAATTTAATCATAAACACAAAAAGATGTTCGGCATCATTAGAAATCAGAGGACTGCAAATGAAGACCACAATGATTTATCCTTTTATCAGGACCACACTCTAACCAACTGAGCTAATCAACCAGCCCTGATTTATCATTTTAAACCCATTAGATCAGCAAAAATTAAGAAATTTATAAAACCAATGCATCAAAGAAAACCTTATATGTGGCTAGGTGTAAATTAGTAAAACAATTTTCAGAAAATGATTTAACATCATTTTGTAAAATTGAGCATATCCTGCAAGCCAATCCCACAAATATAGCCTTATGCCTTTGCTCCAGAAGACATGACAAGAATGTTCCTAGTAGCAAGGTTTTATTTATAAAGACCTGGAAAAAAACCAAATGTCCATCTATAGGAGAATGAATACATTGTGGTGTATTTCCATAGTAGAATTCTGCACATTAATGAAAATGAACTATAGCTATAAGCAACATGGATAAATAAAAACAAAACAAAATGAAACAAGAGCAAAACCTAGAAGAGTACTCAGAATATAATAGCATTTTTTAAAAGTTCAATAAACAACATACATATGATAAAACAAAAAAAAAAACAGACAAAGCAAAAATCTTTGTCACTGGTTACAGGGAGTGGGGATGACAGAAGGCTGAGATAAGGGGGGAGCATCTAAGTGGATGCTAGTTAGTGATAATGGCAGAGTTCTTGGACTGGCTGAGGTGGAGATGGTATCATGAGTACTCCTTAATATTAATATGATTTATGACTTAACCTCATAACTTAAGTGTGTGTGTGTGTATACACACATACATATATTTTTCCTTTCTACAATGTATATGAAATATGCTATTTAAGAAGAAAAAATGGGGGAAAAGATGACTAAAATATGCTAGTTGATTATTCACTGCAATGGGAACCAAATTCCCAGTGTAATACTTACTGGTCAAGAGTCTTATAATAAATGTCCAGATCCTTGTTCACAAGCTCTGTTGTTCTCATAACAATCATCATTTCTCTATACTTTTCCTCAGCATCCCGAAATAAAGGTTCTCTAAGTTCTTTCTTAAAACGAATAATTTCTTCCTCATAACCTTTCTGTCGCCCTAATGCCAAACTGTGATTTCTTTTTACATTGTCTATGTTCTCTTCCAACTTCTGATGTTCACTGTAAAAGGGAAAAATGACAAATGAGGACCACTTTTTACCTTTCAATAACCTGAAGTGGAAAAGTAACACATCTCTTTAGACAGATAAGCGTCATTCTCCCTAGCAATCAGTATATAAGTCTCTTCTTGTTTTTAATTTAAGGTTTCAGTACTAAAGAAAATTCTGTTCCTTCAAAATCTCTGCAGCATCTAATTTTCTGAACAGCTATCTTGAGTGTGTGTGTTGAATAAAGAAGCCTCATAACATGAGGGCACTGAAAGTTCCTGACTTTTAGAAAATGACTGAAGTACTCTCGGTGATTAATATTACACATTCACAAACTTCCAACTGTGAACTGAGAATGCACAATTACCAACACTGAGAAGTTATTGGCTAATAGGCTTCATCATTTTGCTCACAACATATCAAAGACACAATACAATTTTATCTGAATTGAACTAAACACTAATATTTTGTAGTAATACTTACTAAAAATTTACTTTTATGAAAACAAAATTTCTCTTGCACAAGCATAAAAACCATAACACTGAGAGAAGTAAAATACTCAAACTTTTCTCGTAATTTGGTAGATTATACTGACTTCAATGTATGTTTTAAAAATCTTCACCAATTAATTAATTTATTTTTTCCCTTTTTGTCTTTTTTTCGTGACCGGCAACGGATCGCAACCCTCAGTGTCACGCCTGTACCGGACTGGGACCGGCAACGGGATCGCAACCCTCGGTGTTGCGCCCGCACCTCGCTCAGCCAGTGAGCGGCTGGTCTGTATGTGGGATCCAAACGCTCGGCGGGAGCGCCACCGTGCTCCCAAGTGGCGCACTGTAGCAGTGCACCACTGGGCCGGCCCCAAATCTTCATTAATTTAACAATCACTTATTAAGCACCCTCTTATGTGCCAGGCATTGCTTTCAAGTTTATGGGCATCCTCACGGAACTGGCCTGGTTATATTTTTTATTAACATTTCTGTTGTGTCCTGGATGAAGAAAGGTTTAAAAAAAAAATAGTGCTTAGCAGTCTGAATGAATTTAAAAAGCCCTGTCACATACCTATTATGGAAGGAATTTTTAAAATATCTGGTTTTAGTTTTTAGTAGCAAAGAATAAATTACTGCATGTAAAAGTTTCTTCTAAAAGCTTTACTTTTCCAACCTGCCACAGACAGCACTAACATTACAGTGTTAAAGAGCTGAGGCTTGGGAGCTAGGATATTAAGGTCACATTCCTGGCTTTCATCATAATTTCCTCTGTGATTGTTCTGGGTTTCAGTGTCCTAATGCAAAAACAATGAACAAGCTGGAGATGACAAGCTCTTCCAGTTACAAAGTCTGATTTCCTTGATATACGAAAGAGATTTTAAATAGCTAAACTAAAAGTCCTTAAATGATAACACAGGATTAACCATTTTGTTAGGTTTTATGAATTAAAACTTTATACTACATCCTTTAGAAAAACCTAAGCCCTTTCTTTCATTCAGATTTCTGTTTAAATTCAAGAAGACAAATGAAAAATCTACAAGGGTTAAAAGGATGAGAAACCTGGATTTAACCAGCTGAGGTCATTCAAAATGTAAGTATTTGGCTAGTACAACCTTTTATACCAGTCTAGTGCCTTAGCATCAACCTAATTCTTAAAGAATTCCTATGGCAACTCTAAGGTAGAAACAAATTTTTTTTCTGCTGTACAGGGAAGGTAGCAACTACAATAAGTACCAATAAAACCAGATAAAGGAAGAATCAGACCAATCTTTCAAAAAAAAAAAAAAATGCTCTGATGAGCACATAATTACAACTGGAACAATCTAGAATGGGTCTCTATTGACAAATTGCTCTGGCAATAACTCCTCCGGCATATATCCTTTACACTCAGTACCACTATTCTGTGCATAGGCTAGCAGAAGTCTGGAGACTTGGCATGTTTAATACTGAGTAACCACTGCCCATCTCCATGCCACAATGTGACTTCTTTTTTCTGGTGGCTGGCTGGTACAGGGATGTGACTATAAATTTTATATCACTTCTTATGAAATATATTTGTGTAAAAATCCTGTCCACCTCCCTGTAAGTCTCAAGGCATACTAGGCTGAGGCTTCAATTCTTTTTAAAAACAGGTATTTAATATTCTTCACATCCAATAACAACAACCTTTACTTAAGCTAAGGACTATTTTTAAAAACATACTTTTTCATTTGCAAAACCTGCATTTGACCCATTTCCTTCAAATGCTGTTTTCTTTCTTCTTCAACTTCTTTTAGTTCCTCATTTCTTTTTCTTAAAGTAAGGTTATCCTGTAGCCATCTTTCTTGTATCTAAATGTAAATATTAAATAAGTTAATGAAAATGAACAGGTTACTAACATGAGATCCACAACAGGCAATTCCCTACAGGTAGTGCTAATTCTGCCTTACTTAGAATCGTGTTAAATTCAGCAGAGGAAAAATAAGCCAGTGTGAAGCAATCTCCAGGCTTGCGCTAATCTGGAAGGCCCATTCCCATCCACAATCACAAGTACAACACCTCCTGTAGTGTAGCTTTTACTGCCCTTTTGTGATCATGATTTAAAAAACAGGTCTCCTGGGCTGGCCCTGTGGCTCACTCGGGACAGTGCGGCGCTGGTAGCACCGAGGCCACGGGTTCGGATCCTATATAGGGATGGCTGGTGCGCTCACTGGCTGAGCGTGGTGCGGATCACACCTTGCTGAGGGTTGCGATCCCCTTACCGGTCAAAAAAAAAAAAAAAAAAACAACAGGTCTCCTATTTGATGGGGAATCCCACAATAAATGACTGAGCATATATTTCTGTATACTTATTTACTTACAAAGTACTAAAATATTTAGTAAAAATGTTATTAAATATTACATTCATTATAAAAACATATACACACACAAATAAATAAAACATACACAAAACAGGAATTTAAGATGATAAAATAAAAAATATAACTAGACATTTTAATATATTTAATACCTACATGCCAGTGAATCATCTTGCATAGGAACCCTATGATGGAGCCTATTGATCTAAAAGATCACAAGAGATCAATACTACTATCAAAGTCTCCCCCCACTTTTTCTTCCTAGGTTTATTTGTCTCCTACATGTGCCAAGACAATGTTAGATACTATAAGTAAATGTCAGATACAACATCTACCATCAGGCTGACAAATAATCATACAAGGCAGTAAGAAGTGCCACAAAAGTAGTATGTATCTATGAACTTGCTATTTTCCTGGCCACTGAATTGAAATTTTTAAAAATTTGCTGTTCTTGCTGAGAATCTTTGTCCTTAAAAAGAGACCTAATCAGCAGCAGTAGCAGCAACAAAATTATTTCAGTGGTTTTCAATAGCAATTATAATGAACTCTGTTGTCCAGAGACAAACATTAGGAAACAATTTATAAATGGACTCTGGAATTAAAAAAAAAAATTTCCCTATAGAAACAATGATAGTTTGGCCTATAAAAGCCTGTGTGTAGAAAACTTATCCCAAGTTTGGAGTCAGTACTTCTCAAAGATGGAGCTGGGGCCCTCCTGCAACAGGCCTTGCAGCTGAGGTAAATTCAGTGATGTGGGAAGTGGGAAGAAGGGGAAGATCTTTGGCAATATCTTGCTGCCAACAGTAAAGACCAGGGAGAAAAGACTTGAGAGGTGGGATTGAGAAGGGAAGCCAAGAATTTTTCTCACATGCTTAATATCCATATCCAACCCTGCCCATCTAGGAATCACTATTTTTAGTCTTTTTTTGTTTTGTTTTGTTTTTAAACCATCAGAAAGTAAGGCTAACTTCTTTTTTCCTGTAGATAACAAGAATCATTACATGTAAGTATATACACATACAAAGACATTATTATAAGCAGTTAAAGGTGAATAAAATATGGCTATAAATGTCCTTGGTTGCTAAGGCAACCTAATGTATCACTGTAGTTACTGTGACTCTCCAAGGTTCTTCCATTGGGAATTATGCTTGTACTTTTTCCTTAGGAACAAGGGAATGTGTCATTTCTTGCTTTTATCTGATATTATGCAATGCTTGAATTTGCTTTCATGACCGCATGAAAGGACTCTTTAGAGTGCTATCAAATTTTTAGGTAAAACTGATTTTTGGCACGAAATATTGTTCCTGATTGCTTGCCTGCATGTTCCCCAGAAAGCTAAGCATTTCTTTCTTTTAGGTCAGCTTCTATTATTCTTTCTTTAGTTTTAAAAGACAGTATACAGTACAATAGTTAAGAGCATAGGTTATGAAGTAAGGTACTTCTAAGCTCAAACCTCAGTGCTCTAACTTTTAAACTGGAAAATTTGGGGAAAATTAGTTTAAATTCTCTGAACCTCAGTTTGCTTATAAAGTGGTGATAATACTACCTCTATCATAAAGAAGTATTGTGAAGATTAAGTGAATTAGTGTATGTAATCAGTACAGTACCTAGCACAATAATTGCTAGTAAAATACCCTTTGGGTCAAATTTATCCTTTAGTACTTTAAGCAGTGAGAATCCCAATTATAGTCTACAAATTATAAAGTATCAGAGAAAGGGAGGAAAAAAAAACAGATTTGTTTTTCCACTGTACTAGAAATTTGACAACGTAGAGTCAATTTCTACCTCTGTTACTACACTTGTGACCTTGGGCAAGTCAGGTCACCTCCAGTTCTCTTCATCTAGAAAATGAGGAAAGCAGATTATTAAATTTCCAAATTATTTTGTTCTGTGGGCTAAATTTAGTAGGGCTCAAATAAGCATGGAAACAAGCAACTGTCAGGCTCCCCAGCTTTTAAATATTAAGTCCAATCACCCAGCTCAGATGACAGTTAATGCATGCAGCTGATCACCTAAAGAAAACATAAACCTAGCTGCATTCTAGGTATCTGTGATGGTGCAGCGTGGTGAGCAGATCACTGAAAGTCTGGTTGGGAATAACACTATTTACAGAGGATTGCCTGAAAGCTATGCAGTCCATACAGTGCTCACTGAATGATAGTTAAAGAGAGATATCAGAACCCTTAGGGAACTTTAAAAAAACATACACTCCTCTGCCCAAATCCCAGAGATTCTGATTTATTGGTCTGGAATAGAGACATAGACATGTATATGTTTAATAATCTAAGTGATTTTTTAAAAATTGAAATGTAATTCAAATACCATAAAATCTACCATTTTAAAGTGTAAAATTCGGTGGTTTTATTTTACTTACAAGGTCGTACAACCATCACCCCTACCCATTTCCAGAGCATTTGATCACTCCAAAAGAAAATCCCATAGTCATTAGCAGTCACTCTCTATTCCTTCCTCAGCCCTTCCCCCTGCCCCAGGAACATTAATTTGTTTTCTGTCTCTGGATTTGCCTATTCTGTACATTCCATATTAATGGAATCATACAATATGAGGTCTTCTGTGATTAGCTTTTTTGGTTAGCATAACGTTTTCAAGGTTCATCCATGTCATAGCATGTATCAATACTTTATTCCTTTTTATGACTAAAGAATATTACATGGTACGAATATATCACATTTTGTTTATCTGTTTATCAGCTGATGGCCATTTGAGTTGTTTCCATGTTTCAACTTATGAATAATGCTGCTGTGAATATTCTAGTCCAAGTTTTTGTGTGAACATATGTTTTCAATTTTCTTGGTCCTATACTGAGGAGTGGAAAAACCCAGATAATTTTGACAGGTGCCACTAGCTAAGAACCTTTGCTGTGTAAACACTCTAACACTTATTTCCGGCTTCAATCACATCACTCTCTATAGAACTTCATCAAGGAATAATGATGCTGAAAGCCTCTAAAAAAAAGCACCATGAAGTTTGTTGAAGACACAGTTCTTGTTAATCTACACAGTGTCCTCCTTTCCGTGAATGGAGATGTTTCTCTGGTCTTAGCACATGGAACTGATTTCCTTTTAGCTTTGACACAAGGTAAATCTTTAATTGTGACTTCCTCTCTTCATCTGACTACTAAAATCTTTAGCAAGCATGTAAGATTCACGGCATACTTTTTATACACTTACTTCTGTCTTGGTCTCATCAACTTTTTGTCCTTATTTTTACACTGCCTTATTTTCCCATTAACTTTAAATGTATTTGGCATTGCTCTATTGCATATAATTTAGTAAATAATTTTTGGAACAAGGTAGGTTACAAAGTAAACTAATACCTTCAAAACCAGTAAGTTTAGACCACCAACTTGAAAAGGGTCATAGATTGGTAAATCTTGACAATTTTTGTATATGTATATAGAGAGCGGTTACTGATTTACAGATTATGATTTTATATAGGAAACCCACATATAAGCTAGTGATAATTAAGTATTTTGTTACATGTGTATCATAAATTCATACAGTTATTCAGCATTTATTAGGTCAGGCAGTGAGTCAATTTACCTTTGACTGACATTTCATATATGAGTATTTAAAATTCCTGGTACTATAGTCAGAGACCCAGCAGATCTGGCTAATCTTCAAAGAGATTTTAATCACCACTTATAATCCAGTGATTAAAGCTTTTAAGTAACAAATTTTGTTTACAACAGCAGGAACAGAAAAATGGTATAGTTTTTAAAGGTGTTAACTACCATGCTTGCACAGGGCATGTTGAAGATAGTTTCTCAATGTGATTTTAATTATGTTGTGGAAATTAATTTCCTTAATAGAGGAAATAAATGATATAAGAATCAATTTCAAAATGACTTAACATATATTTTCCTTTCAGATAACTTTTAAGAAAATATCATTAGATCGTAATCCCTCTTTTATGAATTTATCCTACATAAAGATACGTTAGAATAAGTAAGAAAACATACAGATACATGTAGAAGGATATTCACTGCCATATAGTTTTGCAATGAGAGGAAAAAAAAAATCAACCTAAGTTATGATACATACACAAAATGGAATATTTTATAATCAATAAAAAAATGTGCTATATCTCTAAGTTGATTTGTAAGATCAAGTTACATTAAGTGAAAAAGGGTACAGAAAATATGAAAGGTGTGATCCCATCTGTAAAAGTATTCATATCAATCAATCAATCTGCTAATACATGAATTAAAAACTTTTTTAAGAACAAACAACAAACTGTGACAGTAATGACACCTAGGAGTGAGACTAGGAATTAGGAGAAGGTGAAGGACAATTAATTTATGTTTAAAATTTTACCACCTGGGTCTTTTATTGAAAATAAAACTAAATATACAAAAGAATGGTATAGGTATAAGTGATACCATAAGCAAAAAAGACTTACCTTTTGTGTATCAATATCTTGTCTCATAATTCCCATTTCTTCATTTATCTTTTCTTTGTGTTTCTCACATTCACTTAGTTGAGCTATTACTCTATTAAGTTCAGTTTCTTTTTGCTACAAAATAGAAAATTCTTTAAGCATATAAAAAAAATAACAAAACAAACAGTTTTAAGTTTTAATTTACCTTCTTATAGTCATCTTTCCCATCTTGAATATAATTTTCAATGTCTTTCACATAACCATGAATATTCTTAACCTTCTCTTTGATATCATTTAGCTGTGGAAAAATATTTATTAAATTTACATTAGGAACAGGGCACTTAATAAGAGAGCACAGTAAAACATTGGCTTGGAATTAGAAACCTTAGGTTCTAGTTTCCACCACTACCAGATTTTGTGATTTCAGACGAGTCCCTTTATCACCTATGGGAATGGATTAGTCTCAATTCTTACCTTCTTCTTTTTTCTTTTTTTTCCTTTTTGTCTTTTTTCGTGACCGGCAACGGATCACAACCCTCAGTGTCGCGCCCATACCGGACCGGGACCGGCAACGGGATCGCAACCCTCGGTGTTGCTCCTGTACCTCGCTCAGCCAGTGAGCGGCCGGTCTCTATGTGGGATCCGAACCCTCGGCAGGAGCGCTGCCATGCTTCCCAAGCGGCGCACTGTAGCAGTGCGCCACCGGGCCGGCCCTCAATTCTTACCTTCTATTTTAGATTAAGAAGCAAACTAATTTAAGTTTAATCCTTATTTTAACAAGAATCTTTAATGTCAAAATTATATCATAAATCTGAAAATACTGTTTATCTTATCATGCTATTTAATTTTATGTGAAATAATAGTGTCCACCATTGTGCTATGAATAAGTTTAATATAAATATTTGATAGTAAATATATAAATGAAATCTTACTTTATCCTGTGCTATTTTGTTGCTTGTAATTTTTTTGTTGATTAATTCTTCCTTTTCCTGCTGGAACTTTTCCAGTGTTGTTTCCAAAGGGCTTACCTGCTCTTTAGCATCCTAAAAATATAAAAACATACAGTCATATAATATTCCATTATCTTATTTTAGGTGTCAGACTTTATAGTCCTAATAAAAGCACTTTCTGTACACCAGGCTTTAAAAAGTAAACTCATTTGCTCCTTTCAACAATGCTATGAGGAAGGTGCCACATTATTTTCATCTCCGTATTTCAGATGAGGAACTGGCACAGAAAATGACTTGTCCAGGGTCACAACACTCAGTAAATGAAGCAGCCAGGGTTCTAACCCAGTTCAGCTCCAGAGTTCACTCTCTTAATCATTACACTATATTGCCTCAGCAACTGATCTGATTCTTAATACAGGCCATGTGCTCCCAGTTATATTAGCACGTGGCTTCAGGCATGAGTTTTCATGAGTTTATAGGGAATCCATGTCAGCTCTGTGTGATCAAAGAACAGGAACATTCATTCTGTCTAAACTTCGTTGGTAAATGGGAATATGACGGTAAAAACACTTTCGACCTTAAGCTTGATCTGCTAAAGCTAAGCAGATATTTTACGATAATAAGTGTATTGGTACATTGTTGTTGGTATATCCACACCTATTCTGGAAGGAAAAGGGTTTTCAAGTAATAAATTATTTTACCAATCAGAAGTCCCCATTATCTAGCCTTGTAACATCTCTATAATATAGTTATATAATAACTTGTTCAAAACAACGATCCTCAAGCACTTTAAGATCCTGAAATATCTATTAAATCAATAAAGACAGATACAATTACTTAGTATTACTTCAATATAGGTGTACTTTATCATACTGGGAAGTGGTATGGTATGGTGGAAAATGAAATGTTTTCATGGCAAAAGACCTATCTGAAAACCAACTTTGCCTCCTATTATTTGCATAAACTTGGGCAACCCATGTGACATTTGTAAATGTCAATTTCTTTTTCTATGAAAAGGAGATTAAGTCACCTGTCTCAACATGATTGCCAAGACACTGAATGGTTTAATGTCAAAGGGCTTTATTATTATTTTTTTTTCTTTTTGTCTTTTTTACTGACCGGTAATGGGATCGCAACCCTCGGTGTTGCGCCCGCACCACGTTCAGCCAGTGAGCGGGAACCGGTCTCCACATGGGATCCGAACCCTCGGCGGGAGTGCCGCTGCGCTCCCAAGCGGCGCACTCTCCAGTGCGCCACTGGGCCGGCCCTCAAAGGGCTTTATAAACAGTAAAAAATTATACAAATGAAAGGTTTTTCCTTTTTGTCTTTTTTACTGACCAGTAATGGGATTGCAACCCTCGGTGTTGCGCCCGCACCACGTTCAGCCAGTGAGCGGGAACCGGTCTCCACATGGGATCCGAACCCTCGGCGGGAGTGCCGCTGCGCTCCCAAGCGGCGCACTCTCCAGTGCGCCACTGGGCCGGCCCTCAAAGGGCTTTATAAACAGTAAAAAATTATACAAATGAAAGGTATTTCATATCATACTCTAAGCCTCTGATAATTTGTAATCCAAAGTTATTTAAGAAGTAAACATTTAGTTTTGGACTTCTGATCAAGATAGTAGAATAGACGGTACCCTCTCCCACAATCAACCAATTTACAACTATTAAAAAGCAATGACTGCCAAACTGGGGCCACTAGAGTTCAAGGGAAGAGGAGGAGAAACCTGTGGAGTTCATGAAGGCAGGAGAAGCCCCAATGAGAGAAAGAAAGGACCACTCTATTTCAAATCCCCACCACTTCAAGGCTGCCTGCGATGAGCACAAAGAGCAAGAGCTGGCAAAAGCTGCAGCTGTGCCCTTTGTATGAAGTTGCTTAGAGGCTGCAGGGAATAAGAGGGCCTTGGTGGCCCCCAGGCCAGCAAGACCACCAACAGGTTCCCATGGACCCACATAGCAGTGAAGGACTACAGACAACAGAAAAAAGGAGCCACTCAGAGGCTGGTGAGTCATCGCAAGGGACCTGTGCATGGCCCATCCCATGGGAAGTGTGTGGAGTGTGGGGGATAGTGGCGATGGGCCCACCAGGGGAACATTGGGGCACAGCAAGGACAGCTGATCTGCCCTCCAGTCAACACAGGGCCACTCAGTGGAGACTGGTCAGGAATACAGAACTGCATGGGTGCAGTTTACTGAAAAGATTCAGGCCCAGGCCAGAGTTTCCACACAACCCAGGTGTAGTAGATCTCACAAGACCTGGAAGCATTTATACGGTCAACAATTAAAACCTGAGCTGCACAAAAAGCCTTCCCCAGAGAATCAGCAGCAAAGCAATGATTTAGCTCAACTACAGGGCTCAACTGCTGGTTCCACAGGAAGTTCCTCCACTTTAGAAGTAACCAAAGGACAACAAATTTAGTTACAGTACAGTGTTTAAGTGGTGGGAATAGCAAATAAACCAACACAGAACTAAAAGAAAAAACAAAAACCTACAGATCAGAGACAAAGTTCTGATATTAACCAATAAAGGTCTAATACCATCAAAGAACACCTATAAAACCTAGAAGGCCTGGAAGCCCCCCAGGCTCCCAAGCTGGCTCCCCCCAGGGCTAAGGGCCTCAGCCACACCCCCTCAATGTCCACATCCAGCCCAGTAACAACCACCAAGCCGCTGCTGGAAGTGCCCCAGCCTCCCAAGCCGGGGTGAGGGGTGCCAAGGGCCTCAGCCATGCTTCCTCAATGTCTGCGTCCAGCCCAGCAACAACCACCAAGCCACCACTGGAAGCTCCCAGAGTGGGGGGGGGGGGGCGCTGAGGGCCTCAGCTACACCCCACTGAAGTCCGTATCTAGCCCAGCCACGACTAAGCCACCACCGGAAGCCCCCTGGGCTCCCCTGCTGGAATGAGGGGAGTGCCACAGGCCTCGACCATGCTCCCCCTCTCTCATTCTTTCTCCTTCCACCCTATCCCCCTTCCCTTTTCCCCTCTCCCCCCTCCCACCAACAGCTCTACAACATCTTAGAATGTAAAAAATAATAAATTAATTAAAAAAGAAATAAACATTTATAGTAATTAATAATAGATTCAGTAATATATTTAGTGTTATGAAAACCTAGATAAGATAATTATTTCTAAAACTGTTCATAAATTTAATTGGTTGGGTCATAAATTTGATTAATCTAGAGAAGGGATGGCAAATGCATTCCAGTACATGCAGCAATTCAGTGCCTGCTCACTGTACTGGTAAGGATTCTGACACCACATCTGGAATCAAATGGATAGAGGGCTATGACTGAGGGTATATGCCATGGAGACAGCATGTGTAGATAAGACAAACCTCTCATACAAGCAGGAATGTTATATGGAGTTATTCAACCACCACCTGACCACATGTGTAGACAAGAAAAACCTCTCATACAAGCAGGAATGTTATATGGAGTTATTCAACCACCACCTGACCACCTCCAGTTACATGAAGTTCACTATTTAACCCAGGCAGCCAATTCTTCCTTATCATGGACAAATTCCTTTTTCCAGAAATCTTTACTTATTAGTACAAGTTCTAATTAATCACACAAGAATTATTATTTTCATTTAATCTTCACAATAACCATAGTTCTGGCCACTACACGAATAAACAGTATCTCATATATTTAAACAAATTTAAAAAACAAACGTATAAATGTTCTTACCTTTATCTCTCTATACAAAGATTGAACGTCAGTGGATAATTCCACAGTCTGCTCCTCCAGTTGCTGACGACGTTGCAAATTAGTGGATATCTGAAGTTTCTCTGATTTAAGTTCATTTGTTGTACTTTTTAGGCGCTGAATCTGTTCCTGCTGGTCCTGTATAAGCTTACGATTCAATTCGATCTTACTGGAAACTGCACAAAAACATATTGACACAGTGATTAACATAAGGGTACAGAAAATATTATTAGGGTCATCCTTCTAGTTTTTATAGATCTATGGAATCACCAAAAGCTGAGTTTCTATGGAGCCAACCCACTGTAATAAGTGTAACAAGAACCCCTCCAGCTCCCAAACCTGCTTGCTGTCCCCTCCTGGCCACGCACAGGTAAAGCTCACAGAGCAGGCAAGATTGGAAAATAGTACAACTCTTGATACTCTCCTACTGTTCAAAGTCTGTTGTGCAAATCAAGGAAACAAAGAGAAGTGATGCTTCTGAAAAGAGAGTGAATATATTGTGGGTGGGAAAGAAGAAAGTTCCTTGTCCATGTAACGAGCATAATATTTACCATAAAAAGAATGTGCCAGAAATGTCAAAGTCTTTATGGGTACATGAGGAAATAGACGATATTACCTGTATCTAATTTGTGTTGTTTTTCTTGTTTTTCCTGGTTTACTTGCTGAATAGTTCGATCTAAGTCTATTCCTTGAAGCTTGGCTGCTTGTTGTGCAATTTTTCTTTCAACATCTTTAAGTTCCATCTTAAGAATAGAACAAAGGTATTTCCTTTAAGGAATTTACTGCATTATCATTACTCAAAATTGACATCATGTAGGGCCGGCCCGGTGGCGCACTGGATAGTGCGCCGCTTGGGAAGCGCGGTGGCGCTCCCGCCCGAGGGTTCGGATCCCACATACGGACCGGTTCCCGCTCACTGGCTGAGCGAGGCACGGGAGCAACGCCGAGGGTTGCAATCCCGTTGCCGGTCCCCGGTCCGGTGCGGGGGCAACACTGAGGGTTGTGATCCGTTGCCGGACACGGAAAAAAGACAAAAAAAAAAAAAAAAAATTGACATCATGTATATGATGCCGTGAAAAGGATATAAGTAAAAATTAACAGCTATAATCAATTATTTTTTAAAATCTGAACTTATAAACTGTTTCCAGATATACTAGCAAAGTAGGATAAAAGTGAAATTAATTTTTAGCAATTCAAATGATGTAAACAAAGGAAGGTGACTAAAAATGAAAAAACAAAACTGTCATTATTTTTATAATCCGAATAAAAAAGTTTAAACCCAGGAATGTAAACTGAGCAGTTGCTCCCTCAGGCTACCTGAAATTCAAGATGGGGAATGCTAAACCCAGTCTGTACCTGAATGTTAGCTACTATTTTTAACACTCTCACACTTCACGTTCAAGCCATCACAGACCACGTTTTATTCTGCCTTAAACTACAATAAACTTACCTGAAATCGCTCCATAATTGTAACATCTGTCAGACATACTTTAGCACCTTCTTCTTCAGGCATTATTGTACCCAAGAGTGTTTCCTGTTCTTCTATGTCATTCTTTAGGCGCTGTATGTCTCTATTGACGTTCTGCAGTTTGTTTCTTAATTCTGGTATTTCCTTCTCCTTCAAATCAATTATGCTTTGCCTTAACAAAAAACAGAAAATTAAAAATAATCTATATGATGTTTTTTCACAATTAGACTGAGATCATATATTTCTGGCAAGAATATCATAAAAATGACTTATATCCTTTTCATGGCATCATATACATGATGTCAATTCAATATGTCTTGTCACTGGTGATATCAATCTTATTCACTTCGTTAAGGTGGTGTCAGCCAGGTTTCTCCATTGTAAAATTACTATTTTTCTCTTTGTAATTAAAAAACATCTTAGGAGAGAAACATTGAGTATGCAAATATCCTGTATCTCCTCAAACTCCTGCTCACTGATTTTAGTATCCACTGGTAGATTTTGTTTGCAATAATCATTACTGTGGTGTTTGCTGAACTAAGAGATATTCTATAAATTAACTGATCTTACTCATCAAAAGTGTCAAGGTCATGAAAGACCAAAAAAGACTATGAACTGTTATACACTGCAGGAGCTTAAGGAAAAATAACAACTAGATGCAATGTGGAATCCTGGATAGGATCCTGAAACAGAAAAAGAAAATTATTGGAAAAGCTGCTGAAATTTGAACATGGTTTGTAATTTAGTTAGAAGCATTATACCAATGTTAATTTCCTGGTTTTGATGACTGTATTATGGTTACGTAAATTGTTTTTTTTTTTTTTCCCTTTTTTGTCTTTTTTCGTGTCCAGCAACGGATCGCAACCCTCAGTGTCGCGCCCGTACCGGACCGGGACCGGCAACGGGATCACAACCCTCGGTGTTGCTCCCACACCTCGCTCAGCCAGTGAGCGGGAACCGGTCTGTATGTGGGATCCGAACCCTTGGCGGGAGCGCCACCACGCTCCCAAGCGGCGCACTGTAGCAGTGCGTCACCGGGCCGGCCCTGGTTATGTAAATTGTTAACATCAGGAGAAACTGGGTGAAGGGTAGATGTGAATGTTTTGTACTATTTTTGCAATTTTTCTATAAGTCTAGAATTATTTCAAAATAAAAAATTTTTAAAATTACAGAGAGAAAGGAAGAAAGCTACTCAGCCAAATGTTACATGGGTTTAAGATACAAAAACTGTCAACCCTCTATGGCAGGTACTGGCTCCATACCTATTTTTGTTGGCACCTCTGAAGCAATAAAACTTGTATTTAATCTTTGAAAAAAAAAAATCAAGTTTATTTCAAAAAATCCCAAATTCTTATTAAAAGTTAAATTAGTACAGTAAGTTATTTAACAAATTAGTCTGTAATGGGAATCTTACAATAAACTAAAGGAAAAACCAGAAACTCTAGGATTAGTTCTTGAATATTGCTATTACTTAATAATTTTTAAAAAGTGCCCAATATGACCAAAAAATGTTGATGTGTGGCAACAGAACTATAATTTTTAATAGCACAGAAATACGAAGTATTCTTATTTCATATACGAATAAATATAAGGGTACGCAGATTAATTCCATGCTTATATTACTTCCCAAATATTGTGGTCATAGACTAGTAGTTGGTCTTAAATTATGTACCCAGTACCTAAAAAGTGACACAGCTATAACAGCCTAATGACAAGTCAAGTGTTCACTTAACTGGGGACATCTTTGGGGAGAACTATAGGCATACACACAATTTTAACCCTATTTTTACATTTTCATATACATACAAAAAAACTCTTCATCAATGCGGTCCAAGTTTTGGTGCCTTCTTTTTTGATGATTATTTAAGCTGCTAAAATAAGTGTTCTAAGAAAAAGTAAAGAAACTTCCCTATAGAATGGGCTACTAAGATCTATTGGGGTCTCTAGGTCCGTTTTTTCATTTTTATGACATTTTATTTTTTATTTTCATGAGTTTATTTTTCTAATAGTAAGTTGTTAAAATTAATATTATTTTCAATCAACAAATCATAATTGTACACATATAGGGGGTACAATGTGATATTATATAAACAATGTAGAATGATTAAATCAAGCTAATTAACATGTTCATCATCTTGCTTACTTATCATTTTTTATGGTAAGACATTTGAAATTTACTTTTTGGAGTCCCCCCCCCCCCCCCC